CTTCTCCAGCTCGGCCTCCTGCAGTCTCTTGGCCTTGGCGCGGCGGTTCTGGAACCAGATCTTCACCTGCGTCTCGGTGAGGCTGAGCGAGCTGGAGAACTCGGCGCGCTCGGCGATGGACAGGTACTGCTTCTGGCGGAACTTGCGCTCCAGCGCCAGCAGCTGCGCCGTGGTGAAGGGCGTCCGCGGCTTGCGGTTGGTCTTGTGCTTGCGCAGCGTGCAGGCGGGGGGGCTCAGCCGCCCTGGGGGCGAGAGACAGGGCAGGCGTTAGCGGAGGCCGGGAGCGCACCCCCCCAGCGGCGGCGGCCGACCCAGCGCCAGACGGGATCGTGCCAAGCCCGCCGGGCGGGCGGGCGGCACTTGCAAAATGTTGGGCCCACTCCCCCCGCAGGGAAGACCCCGGCCCCCTGGCCACTCTCGGAGTGTGTCTGTGGGCCTGGGGGGCTCAGCCCGAGGCTCCGTCCACAGAGACCCACCGTGGCTGTCTTTCTTTGGCTTCGATAAACCTGAGGGTGGGCGGGAGCAAAGACCACTGCCCCCTGGGACGACCTCGGCTTGGGGGGGGGCTCCGCCCGGAGAAAACGTGGGGCGAATTATTCCCAGAAGCGCAGGGATCGCGTGGACGCCGGGGTCCCAGCGCCCAAGGCCTAACTGAACTCCAGGTCTTGGAAAGGACACTCTGTGCAGCGGCTTCCCTTGTGGGAAATGAGTTCGAATCCAGGATGTTTCACCATGCGGGTTTGGCCTTCCTTTGCTGTTGCTCAAGGTTCGAACACAGCCGGGAGAGACCAGCCGCCTTTCGTGGGCCGAACGGCCGCTGGTGAAGGCCGCTGCCGGCCGCAGCCTCCTACTTCCCAGCCATGCGCGGAGGGAAGATGGGTGTCACAAGGCGCATGGCGGAACAGGCGAGAAGAGGCACTGCGCCCAGCTCCGGGGCACGTCCGACCTCCAGCCTTGGCTGGACATTTATCTGGGCCCACCCGAGTGCTCAGGACTAGGCCAGGCTGGTGCGGGACAGCGAACCCCTATCTCCAAATCCCAATCTCTTTTACCCTGGAACAGCGGGGCCCCTCCAGGGTTCTAGAAGGGGTCCCTGCAGGGCCGAGGTAAGGCGACCACACGACAGTCATGGTGGCAGCACCGTGGCCCACTCTCTTCGAGACATAGAGTGCCATTTGGCACAGGGAGGAGGGCTGCTTCGGTCTACGGGGCTTCCGCGGCTGCTTGCTCCAGGGCTCTCTGGGACTGCTCCCAAGCCCTGGCGCCCTGGCCCTCTGGCCACTCTCAAAGTGTATCTGGGGGTAGGGGGGCTCGCCGGAGGCTCCGTCCACAGAGACCAACCGTGTCTTTTTCTTTGGGCTTCGATAAACCTGAGGGTGGGCGGGAGCAAAGACGACTGCCAGGGACGGGCTCCGGTTGGGACGAGGCCTCCGCCCGGAGAAAACGTGAGGGGAATTATTCCCAGAAGCGCAGGGATCGCGTGGACGTTGGGGTCCCAGGGCCTAAGGCCTAACCGAACTCCCGGGTCTTGGAAAGGACACTTTGTGCAGCGGCTTCCCTTGTGGAAAATGAGTTCGAATCCAGGATATTTCACCATGCGGGTTCTGCCTCCCCCCCTTTTTAGCACTTCTTAAAACAAACCCTTTGGGCTTGGGGCGCTCAGACCGCCAGGATGTGGGCGCAATGACATCTCGTGTCAGCCTCCCCCCTCCTCCCCCGCCGCTCGAGACACCACGAATCCGGACGCAGCCGGAGCGGGCGGCCGAGGTAAGCGTCGCTCCCCTGGGCAGCGCCAGGCCAGCGCGAGGCCACCCTCTCCGGCCAGCAGGCCCGGGGAGGGACCGGCCTTTCGGAGGCGTCTAATCCCCAGACAACCATTCCCCAGCATCACGCCATTGAATCCAGGCTGCCATGACGCCGCGCAAAATAATCGGAGGAAACGAGAAACACTCG